TGGGGACTACCTGTACATACAATAACTTTACTAAACGAATGGTCCACCCTAAGCCTCCATTGCATTCAACTGTGGTTAAGCAGAGGAATAGCTTCAAATAGTATAATGGAAACCACAGAGAATCTGAAGTCAGATGACTTAGGTTTGAGAATTGTCCCGCCTAAGTGACTTAGATAAATTGGCCTTTATAGCTAGAAGGTTTTAATCAATAAAATAAGGATATCTAACATTTCTACGGAGCCCTAGTAGCGCACTGATTAAGAGCTCGGCTGCAAAGCAACATTTCTATATCAAAGAACTATAGTGATGATGAACAAATGAAATAACACAGAAGTAGTAGGCGCTCAGTGAAATATAAAGCGCTGTTCAGATGCTAACCTACTAAGGTCTTATTTGAAAGCGCCGGGTAAACGAAATGGCAATAACTGCGAAGAGAGGGAAAAGGCTATGATGCTAGTATACTTCTGAGGAATAAGTGGCTCTCACCGGAGACTGGAGAGTTTCTTCATGACAGGACTTATCCCTCTAACTATCCATCCCACTCACACCATCCCCACCCTCCGTCCTACTCGGCCCCCTCCCCTCAATCCTGGGTAGGTAAAGTTGCCTACGGCGTCTTCCTTTTTCTTTTTTCCCAATCGCGCCGGATGTCATTAACTACTCACCGCACAGGCCGCATCTTGGTCCCCTTCAAGGCTGGAAATTTGCAGCTTTTATGTTCTCCCAGGCAGCAATGGCAGTTTTAATTCCCGCCCAAAACCAAACATCGACGATCTCCGCCCACCGGCCTGCAGTCGGCCAACTATTCCCAGCCATCATTGCGGTAGCGCATGCGTTCTGCAAAAAGTTAGTTTGTTCACGCCCTTCCCAAGGCGATTGCTCTTCCGCCTTAGGTCAACCTGAGAGGAGTTTGTGCTTTCCCTCTGCACTTTCGTCACCACAGCGGCTTTTGCGCCGTTTTTGGAGTACTCAATAATAGTAGAAAAACGTTTTGCTACACTTTTCAAATGATTACATTGAGGCATGAGGGGACAAGAGGCACTTGGAAGCTGAGTTTTCCACAAGGTGCCAGGGAAGAGGAGAAGTTGAGGACGAATCTGTTGTGGCGGATCTGCTGGCTGTAAAAAGAGGTCGGTAGGTCAGCTGATCGTTCCTGCTGCAGCTGCTGGTTGACAGCTCGGAGTGTGCGGACCGCTGAGGACTCTGGAACTAGGCGAGGTGAGCCCAGAACCAAGAACAAGGAACCTCTTCAGACTGAAACCCCCAACGGAGGGGCTGGTCTCCTCCCTCAGCTGGAGTGTCTCAGCCAGGGAGACTGCCTTCCCTTTCTCTAATTAGAGCCTCAGAGCCTCCATTCTATTGGCTGTATGAGCTCGTTCCAGCCCCCTCCCACCCCATTTTTGTACCAGAAACCCTCCTTGAAGGTATTTAGAACTACCTTGCTAAAACACGAGTCTTCAGATAGACTGTTAGCCAAAAAAAACGAGGAGAGGGAGCTTAAGTATCAGTTTGCTGAACCGCAATAAATCTAAAGGTTGAATCGATTGAAACCAGAGCTAATGGTTTTTGTTCACTGGAAGTATTGAATCCGAACAAGATTAGACCATAAACCAATATTTCTGTAACTTTCATTTTCCTACTACAGTGTTTCTTTACTGCCACTGCCTTCATCATGTGTACTCAATTAGTAGACTGTGATTTTCCTACTGGTATTTTCCTAGATAGCTTATTTTACTCTTACTGGCTTCCATTTATTGATCATCATGTTTGTCAGATGCTTCGTATTTGTTATTTGACTGATCTTTATGACAGTCCTGTGAGTTAAATCCCCAATTGACAGTTACTCAGGTGGCAAGTAAATGGCCGAATCAGAATTTAAACTATTTAAAATTACAGAGTCAAAGGCCCATTCTCTTATCACTAAACTGGCTTCGTCCAACAAATATTTGCCTCAAGTCTGTGTGCACCATGTCAGGGACTATGGTTCAAATATTGATAAGACACAGCCCTTGTCCTCAGGATGCTCACAGTCTGGTGAGGACGTGATGGAAGTGAAGCCGGAGATGTAAACAGGGATTCGGTCACTGAGGGCCTCGTATGCCATGCTAGCAAGTTTGGGGGAGGAGGCAGTAGCGAATAACACTTTTGGGAGTTTTAAGTGGAAGGATAGGAGGGGTTGGTCCATTGGCAGCAAGGAAACCAGTTAGGCTGTTTAATATAATCCAAAACAGAGATGATGAGGCCACACAGAGTCCATGGGAATATCTCATTTTTGTATTATATTATTCTCACTGTCATTGGCTGAGGTCAAAACTTCCTGTGAGCACATAGGTGGATATTGAGCAACACAAAGCTTTCTAATGTGGTCCTTCCCATTCACCTAAACTACTTTTTACTACATGTATGTTGTATTTAACCGTATCATATTTTTAAATTAACATATTTTAGCTCTTTTCTTATGTATTTTCACATGTTGCTTCATCTTTTCTTTGTAAAGTCTACATTTTCCAAAGGAAAAACGTAGCCATTTCTTTTGTGACTCTTTAGTAGAGCAAAGCCATTTCTCTCCCCCACCCCTTCTTTCTTTGCATTAGGAAATACATTTAATAAAGTGTGAAAAGAGAAAATCTTAAATAAAAAGCTTGATAAGTTTTTACATAATACATAACATGCCCATGTAACTGCCAACTAGGTTAATATATGACACATTTTCCAGTACCCCATAAAAGTCCCTGAAATTCCTTGCCAATCAGTACACCCCACCCCATGGTAAATCCTATTCTGACGTCTATCACTATCAATTAATTTTGCCTGAACTTCATATAAATGGAAGCATACACTATATTCTCTTGTGTTTGCCTTCTTTTGCTCAAGATGTCTGTGAGATTCATTGAAATTGTTGCATTTATAAGTGGTTGGTTTGTTTTTTATTGCTGGATAGTATTCAGCTGTATGAATAAACCATAATTTACCATTCTCCTATGGATAGGCATTTGAGTTGTTTCTAGTTTTTGGCTTTTATGAGTAAACTTGCAATGAATAGTCTTCTGTGTGTCTTTTACTATGTGTTTATTTTATGCTTTCTATATATCTTATGCTATCTATATATCTTATATATATGTAAATTGTGCAGCAGCATAATTTACGTATATATATCTTATGCTTCTTAGAAATGGTACATATATATAGAAATAGTATACCAAAAGACTCGTAGAATAATACATACACATAGAATATATATATGCAATTACATATATCTATATTTGGATATATATTGAGGAATGGAAGTTTTGAATCATAGGGTGGAAATATCTTTAGTAGTTATTGGCAGTCTTCCAAAGTAGTTGTACCAATTTCCATTGCTTTACTTTTAATAAATGTTAGTTAATTCTGTGAATGAAACAAGTACCCCATCTCTTTGCATTATGGTGAAATAAACACTCTAAATTTTTGTGTACAGCCTACATGCAGATTTGAGAAAATAGCCTGGATAAAAAGAATAAAGTCAACAGCTTTCCCCCCACCCCCCCAAAACAATCCTTTTATCCGAGTTATTTTTATATTTCAGATGACCTCTTTTTAGAGAACAGTATAAATAATCGCTTGTTCTCTTCTTTGTTTTTCCAGTGAGCAACATAAAAAACACTGTACAATTAAAAAAATATTAGCACCTGCAATTATATTCCCAGCGTACTGCCTGGCACATGAAATACAACAAGACAAAAGTCTTTCCACCTCAAGGAGGCTGTTGTTCTAGTGGGAGGAAGAGATAGAGGTCATAAGTACCATGATTCAGATATGTACAGTCTGATATGGTAGCCTGTGGTGGGAACCCAGTCTAGTGGTAGGGAGTTAGGTAAGGTCTCCTGGAGAGTATCTAAGCAGAGACCTAAAGAATGAGTAGCTGTTAGCCAAGGGAAAAAGAGTAGTAAGAGTGCTCTAGGGAAAGGAAGAGACATTCAAAAAGGTTGGGAATGGAAAGAGAGGTTTGGTATTGGAAGAAGTTCAATATGGCCGGAAGATAAAGTTGGTGAATTTGTGTGTGATGGAGGCAGAGGATGCAGATGCTGAAATAGAGTCTGGAAATATAAGCCAAGGCATTGTAAACTGGTTGAAGGAATTTGAATTTTATCCTGAGGGCAATGGAATGCCATAGAGGGGTTTTAAGGAGATGAGCAACATGGTTAAATATGTACTTTAGAAAGATTACTATGACTTCAGTGTACAGAACAGTGTGAGAACTCTGATGATGGGGAAAAGCTTGGAGACAAGAAGTCCAGTTAGGGGCCTGATGAATAAATCTTTAGTTGATGTTGATTCTTACTACCTTTAACTAGATTTTCTTCTTTTACATAGTGTCCCATTTGCCTGTGGGAAGTCCTGTACTTTCTATTTTGTTTATATCTTCTTCCCAACACTACCTCCCCACAGCCTCCCAAATCAAATCTCATACTTACGACCTCTAAGATCTCCAAGATCACTTCCTGGTCTCTGATCTGTTTCTTTGACTATATTAACCAACTGTTCCATAAGCTTTATATCTGCCCCTTATGCATCTCTTCTTAAGAATCCTCTCTTGCATGTTCCTTCCCTATTCCTGAGAACACTGCCTATAATTGCAAAGTACTTTATGGGCATCTTTTTTGTTTTTTTCATTAAATGAAATTTTAAAGCAGCACTTAGTGTTTTCATAAAGAAAAATACCTTTTTTTCTCCCCTTACAAAGACGAAAATGCAGAGATAAACATGTGGGAAATACTACAATAGTTGGCTCAGAGTTACACAGATAAAATCTCTGATTGGTGGAACTCCTTCCTAGAAATGGTACACTGTGGATTTTTATGAACTTATATAACCTGCAACTTTTTTGTTAGTTCTGTAGATATCCTGCCAAAGAAGATGAAGAAAAACAGAGAAAGATTCTGCAACAGAGAGAGGGAATTTGTGTATAAATTCAAAGTAGGAAGTCAGTACTTAGAACTGAAGGTTCCCCTCAAATTTCCTGTTCAGGAGGATGCCAGTCATTTGCATGGACGACTGATGCTGCTGCACAACTTGCCATGCTTTATTGAAAATGGTGAGGACTGAGTTTCAAGTAATACCACTTTATTATTTTCCTGTAATCTCCGCCATTAGAACTTTTAGATTAGAAAGTATAAACCTGAGAAGCATCAGAAACATCCATAAAATTTGAAGTGTTTGTTGAACTGTTTGCCTTCCAAAAATAAAAAAAGCTTCTTCCCTAAACATTTGTTTTATTGAATTTTTTTTTTCTAATAACCCTGGTAGCTGCTTATAAAGAGGTTGACTATAAAAATTAAATTATATAATGAAAAATTAGTTACAAAGTCTTGATTGGAACCTCTGAATTTAGTTGGGTGGATTCATATGGCATTTCAGGTATCACTAATTTTGGTATCAGAATTATACTGCTAAATTGATTGCTCTTCTTAATGATGGTCATCAGTTCCTGAGATGTCAGGGAAGAGACGGAGTAATAATCTTTGAATAGGCCTTGATTACCTAAATTAATTCTATGAAGTCATCTGTATTTAACCATTTTTATGAAAAGGTCTGTGTTCTATCTCACAGATGAGAAAAAAAAATTGATAATATGTTGGATCATAGACGGTTAGAGTTACAAGGGAACCAATAAATTTTCTAGCACAGTCTCATTGTACAGCAAGGAAACTGGGACATAATGAGATTAAATTATTTGTCTAAGGTAATGGTTCTCAAAATGTAGTCCCTGACCAACAGCAGCAGAATCACCTGAGAACTTGTCGGAAATGCAAATTCTCAGGCCCTCACCCCATTCCTGATGAATCAAATTCTGGGGGTAGCACCAAGTAATCTGTTTTACAAAGCCTCCCAAGGGAGTCTAATGTACACTAAAGATTGAGATCCACTGACCTAAAGTCACAAACATGGTGACAGTCAAGGCCAGAACACAGGTATCCTGACTTCTGTCCTAGTGCTCTTTCCATTATATCAGGATAGTAGTGTCTTTAGGATTGGAATAGTAGATCATTTGAATTAAGTCAGTAATAATATACTAATTATTCTATTTCTCTTCTAAATTCAAAGAAAATAACAATATACCCTTAAATGTTATATAGTAAACTGTTTTTCACTTAAATACAGTAACCTTCAGATCCTCAAAATCTGTAGTTTTTTTTAAATGTGCTTATACGTATTCATCTTCAAACTGAAGAATCAAGCATAAGAAGTTATTACTTAATTAGTATCAAGGTTATACATAAGAGTTAAGAATTCTGACCTTTTTCCATGCAATAACCTGTAATAGTAAAGAAAAATAATTGTGAAATTAGTTAAATAACTGCTTAAGCTGATTTTATTTTAGCTGGGCATTCTATTAAGGGTATCAGCTTGATAAAATAAAATTTCACATTGGAATGCTTAGCCAGGTAAAATGTTCTCTATTTATGTCTCAGGTTTGCTGATGATGGCATTTGTTGTCCCTGCTGTAGATTTAAAAGAAGGTCTGAGCCAGTTTATAGAAGAAGAATCCCTCAGAGATTATGATAGAGATGCTGAAGCATCACTAGAAGCTGTGAAATCAGGAGAAGTAGACTTACATCAGCTGGCAAGTACATGGGCCAAAGCTTATGCTGAGGTAAGAAAATAGGTTCAATTATAAATTTTAAGAATATTCTGGACTTTGATGAAGATTTTTAAATCTCTAAAGTAGTACTGAAACAATATTAATATTATTTTTCCTCTACATATCAAAATTTATTCCATAATATATACTACATGTTGCTGCTTCTGTGCTTCCTTCCCATATCAGGAACAGCAACTACGACAGAATATATAATCCTTTGTAAAAATGAGAAGCTATTTTAATATTAATAAGCAAGATAGAGTTGCCAGATTTAGCAAATAAAAATAATAAAAATACAGGATACCCATTTAAATTAGAATTTCAGATAAACAAAAAATAATTTTTTAGTATAAGCAAATAAATATATTAAAAAATTATTTGTTTATCTGAAATTCCAATTTAACTGTGTGTACTGTATTTTATGACAACTATGAATCAACAGTAGTACTTCATTGTAAAATCTGGTCTACTATTGCCCTCTTAGCTTCTTTGTTGTTACATAACATCATCATTTTTCCATTTAAATAATATACCTTATTTCATAAAGTCTAAGATGCTATAAGGGGCTGTGGTGGCAGAATGGTTAAGTGCTTGGCTGATAACCAAAAGGTCAGTGGTTCAAACCCACCTGATGATCTGCAGGTCTTTTCTAGATTACAGCCTAGAAAACCCAATGGGGCAGTTCTGCTCTGTCCTATATGGTCATTATAGGGTTCCTGTGAATTGGAATTGACTCGACGGCATACAACAACAAGGTATTGGGGGTAAAATAGTGAAGAAGACAGGCACAGGATGAAATTTACATTTTAGTTAGCCAGATACAGAACTATGTAAACAGACAAATTAATAATTTCAGACTATCATGAGTGAATTACATCCCACTCTCAGCAAATTCAGTCTGTGAGAATTTGAAAGAAACCAATTTTCTTTCCAAATTGTCAGTTTGTTCACATTTTCAGTTTGCTCCATGTCCAGTAAGGTTTCCTAGTTCATTTGAAACATGACACTATTTACACATATTAATTTAAATGTTAAAAATGTATTTATTGAGTTAAAATATATCTGTAATAATTACAGTTGTTAAAAAAACTAATCTTTCTGCTGATTAAAAAAAAAATAAAGCAGTAAAATATATTAAAAGAACAATTCCACTTAATTTATTCAACCAATATTTTTTGTATCTCTAAAATGGGCTGAATATACAGTTAAGAGTAAGTCAGTAATAATATACTAATCATTTAATTTCTCTTCTGAATTAAGTGTCTACCCTCAGGGAACTTAAGTCTAATAGGAGGAGACAGAGAAATCCAGACTATTATAACACAGTGCAGTTTGTGTTAGGATAGTGGTATATACTGTGGAGGACATAGAGAAGTGGGGGAAGGAAGGAATGATCAAGGAAGGGTTCTTGAAGAAAGCAGTCTCTCCTCTAGGATTTACTTTGTTTTTATATAAGATATGAAAGCAAACCTCTCCTGATTTTGTGTAGCCAAAGGGAAAATTTGCCACAAGTTAGTTTAATAATGCTTATTTAAGTTTATTTTGATATAAAAAAATAGTTAGAATATTTACAAAAATATGGCTTTACTTACTCTTTTTTATTTAGCCATTCTAAAAATAGGGATTTAACTGTATTCTGGATTAATCATATTAACAATAACAATAATAACAACATGAAATAATAACACTTGGTACTTATTAACTCATTTAATCACAGGAGTATAGATTTATAGTGAAAATCAACAAGTATCTATTGAGCAAGTACTCTATGTTTATGCAAACACATTAGATACAGAAGAATTTTTGTAACGTCTCTTATTACGTAGAGTTTAGCTTTCTAGTGACCTTAGGGTTGTAGAACCATAGTAGCTGGTTCGTTTTTAAAGAAGCAAGGAAAGAAAAAGCAAAAGATCGAGAGTAAAAGAGGAAGCGCTGACAGGAAAATAAACAGAAAATCCAAATATTATTATACCGACAAAATTTGATTCAGCTATCACTGGCTGTGAAAAGTATAAAAACCAAACAGCTCAGTACAAGTTCAGAAGTAGGAATCAGAGGCCAAAAAGGAGGAATGGAAAGAGAAGAGGGAACTATGTATAGATAGTAAAAGGGCCAGCAGACGTTAGAAGCTGCAGCATGATAGAGATTAGAAGAATCAGAGTGTAACCAGCAGCAGACTCTCTGATAGTGGAAGCAAAATAGGGTAGTAGGTGAGACAGAAGGCAGCTAAAGCATCTCTGCAGGATATGGGTAAACTGCGTTCAGTAACCTTGAAGAGAATAATTGGAGTATCAGTAAAGGGGTGAAATACCATGATGTTTAGGGGGGTGAAATACCATGATGTTTAGGGTAATACCAGTTACCTACGACTATGAAGGATGAGCTCAGTTTTCTGTAAATGGATTTGCTGGATATTTCAGATGCTAACATTTAAATCATGAAAGTTTTACCTCACTCACCTTTTGGTGAAGATCTTTTAAAAACATACTGTGCATTTCCTTGCTGTCTTGAACACAGTATATAAAATTCAGTTCTAACTCCTTGATGACCCAGGGTCATCATTATAAATGTAAGTTATACTGTACAGTAAGAAACTACTGAGAAGGGAGGTCTGTTTGTCCATCGCTACAGAGATGTACTGAATGTGCCGCTTTGATATGAGGGATTTAAGTTGTAGAGGACCATTGCCCCTGAGGTACAGAGCTGTACTTTGATTGATGTATGTGTATAGTATAAGGAGGTTCTGATGGTTTACTGAAGTGTGTGTGGCTGTTAGTCCCTACTTGGTAGGGCCATTCTACTTTGTTCTGTGTTTCCGTTTCTTGTTCCCTGTCAGAGAGTCAGTTGCTTCTAATCACTATTTTATCTTTTACTATTGGGTTAAATTTCTTTTTTAAAGTAATGAAAGATAAGCTTAAATAGATAAGGAAAGCCAAACAGGGCCAACCCTTGGCAAAACTGTGAAGTAGGCTATTTATTTTTGGTAGTGCCCTATTTGCCATTTCAGTATTCTTCCCTTCTTCAGACTCTTGTATTCATTCATTCAGCAAATAGGTATTGAGCACCCATTTCATATCAGATACTGTGTTAGGCACTTGGGATACAGCA